TGGCCCTCTACTTCACCAAACATGATGTCCCCTTCCAGTCCAGCAGTTGATCTGTCTTGATGATGTGTCCAAAGCCAGCAAGTCAGACAATGTTCTGTTGTGATCCATAGGGTTTTCATTTACTGATTTTTGGAAGTAGACTTCCAGGCCTTTCTTCCTAGTCTGTCTTAGTCTGGAGGCTCCACTGAAAACTGCCCACCAAGAGTGATCCTGCTGGTATTTGAAATATCAGTGGCATAGCTTCCAGGATCATAGCAACACGCAAGCCCCCACAGCAAGACAAACTGACAGACAGGTGGTGGGTATTATTGATTAGAAGGCATTTATTAATTATCATAATTCATGTTCAGTACAAGCTGTTATCATTTGTAAAAAAGTTTAGGTATTGCAAAGCACTTTTACATGCATTATTATTTTTAATCCCTAAATTGGTTCTGTGAAGTCAATGGTTGTTGTGATTGTTGGGTGCCACTGAGTCAATTCCAACTCATAGTGACCCCACGTGACAGAGTAGAACAGCCCTGTAGGGTTTTCTAGGCTGTAATCTTTACAAGAGCAGATCGCCAGGTCTTTCTCCCGTGGGGCCACTGGGTGGGTTCAAACTGCCAATCTGTTGCTTACCTGTTGCACCTTAACTCTTGCACCACCAGAGCTCCTTGAAGTCAGTAGAGGGGTATTGTTACACCTGCTTTGTCTGTAAAGAAACTGAGTCTAAAGAGGTTAAATGACTGCCCCTGGTCCCACAGCAAGAAAGTTTTAGACTCACGTTCATGTCTTCTAACTCACAGCACTGTGCTCTTTCTCTCAGCACACCACCTTCTCCCTCTCTAAAGGTGATTTGGAAGGCCTCTGGTTGCTCTGGGCAAAGATTTAGTTCACAAATCCATTTTCCCTCTTGCAAGTTAACATCAACAACTTATAAACCAGGCCAACTCCAACCACACCAGACAAATGCAAGTCTGCTAAATGAGTTTTGCTAGGATGATTGGTATCAGCAATGATGATCTGCACGAGAAATTCACATGCATCCCCTGGGGCTCCCTGCCTGGAATCCAGGTCATTTTAAGAACTTACTTAATACAGCTATGCTTGGAAAGGCAACTGATGTTGGCATGCTCAGAAGCACACTGGCAGAAAGCAGTGACTGCTGAAGGCAGGGCCGTTAACCGGCCTCCCTGTTCTTTACTGCAGAATGCTCCCAGCACAGGATCCAGTGATCTCGGAGTCAAGGGCCATTTGCCTGGGGTGTCCTCTCTGATACAGAAATGTCTAGGCCTGGGCTTTGGGCTGCAGAGCAGTATTGCTCAAATATTTAAAATATAATTCACTGTAAGAAAGATATTTCCATCATGGCCAGTATACAAGTGTGTTTGAAAACACTGGTGGGTAGAGAAATCAGTTAAATGAGAACAACCAGCACTTAAAAAAATTAAATAGGCTAGAACAGAAAATAGAGTGCACTGCATATAGTAAAGATAAGCATGGTTCAGTAAAACTTGTTTTGGTTCTATCCATCTATGAGGGTGTTGGTGGTTCAGTGGTAGAATTTTTGCCTCTCTTGCAGAAGACCCAGGTTCGATTCCTAGCCGATGCACTTCATGTGCAGCCATCATGCTGAACAGGTTTTAGTGGAGCTTCCAGACTAAGACAGACTAGGAAGAAAAGCCTGGCAATGGTCTCATTCTCAACTGATTATGGGGATGGTATAGGACAGAGCAGCGCTTCATGCTGTTGTGCTTGAGGTCACCATGAGTCAATAGCTAACAACAATATCTATCTATCATCTATCTGCCTGTCTATGAGCTAGGTCATCATGTGTAATTTATTTCTTAGTGTAGGTCATAGTCAAAAACATCTGAAAGATCCCAGTCTAGAGGAAAGTCAACAAATAGGGTTTGGGAAGATGCAGGGATTCTGCCCCTCCCATGATTGGGTTCTTCCAACAGCTCCCCATCCTCAACTCCTCAACAATCTCCTTCCTTGTTTGACATACACAGCCATACATAACCATTCCCACTGATCTCTCTAACCTCATGGCTGTCCACTCCCTGTCACCATCACACCCTAAGCTTCTGCACCACCAAACTATTCACAGTGTGCATAGAGATCCAAGCTCTCTCATCCCTACAGACTTCTGCTCATATGCTTCCTCTGCCTGGAACCACTGTTCTCACTTTGTCTTTGCTTTGATGATTCCTATGCACACACTCAATTTTTCAGCGGAAGTTGCCACTTCCTCCAGGAAGTGTTCATGCATCACTCGGCATTCATTCATTCAGCATTTAACAAATTTTCATAAAGCACAGACCTAGGTACTGGGGAGATTGAGTTAATAGAACAGAAGTTCCTGCTCCCCTGGAGTTTACATTCAGTGGGCAGATAGATGACAAACGAGCAACTACTCGTATAATATAATGACATAGACAGATGTGGTGGCTGTGTGTGAGGTGCATTGGCTGGGAATTGAACCTGGGTATCCTGCATGAAAGGCTAGAATTCTACCATTGAACCACCCATGCCTCAATCTTCTTGTTGTTGTTGTTAGGTGCCCTCGAGTCATTTCTGACTCATAGTGACCCTGTGTACAACAGAACAAAACACTGCTTGGTCCTGTACCACCCTCACAATCGTTGCTATGTTTGAGCTCATCATTGCAGCCACTGTGTCAATCCATCTCATTGAGGGTCTTCCTCTTTTTTGCTGACCCTCTACCAAGTGTGATGTCCTTCTCCAGGGACTGGTTTCTCCTTGTAACATGTCCAAAGTACATGAGATGAAGTCTTGCCCTCCTCACTTCTAAGGAGCATTCCAGCTGTACTTCTAGCCAATCTTCCTGTTAGGCCTGTGCTATATCATGAGAGGAAGAGAGAGTCCGGGGAGGCTTGGGTGTCCATGGACAGGATTCCAGCAGCATGAGGACTCTGGGCAATGTACCGTCTCTAACAGGAACTCTGCAAAGGAAAAGAAATAAAGCCAAACTCGTAGTTTTCCCTAGAACTAATCCAGCTGATATAAGCAAAACCAAGAGGTGAGCAGATTGGTTAATTCTGTGAAAAATATGTCCCATTAGGCTAAACCATCAAAACTCATTAGTTTGAAAAGTAAATTGCCTTTCAGAATACAGTTGTGTTAACTCAGTGCTTAGAAATTCCTCTTGGCTCTGCAAATACTCAATCCTGTGAAAAGAGATGCCGTACCTCTGAACATGCTTTTAACTGCCTAGAAAGTAAATCCTAGCGTATTAGAGCTGGAAGGAGAAGATAAACTACTCCAAAGCCTTCATTTTGTATAGCGATAAGGAGGCAGACATATTGCTTGCCCAACCTGCACCTAGACCTGAGGCCTGGTGCCTCTCACTTCAGAATTCTTATATCCCACCATACGACTGCCTTGACCTTGTCCATTGCAGATGATTTTTCTTCTCCAATGTCAAGAGAGAACATTTCTCCCAATTAGATGGTTGGGATTTACAAAGATAATTGAAAAATGCTGGACTCTTTTGGCCTCCTGACAGATTCCAAAGTGTCAGAGGAAAGATTGAAACACTATCACGTCATATTAAGTGTCAGATGAAAAGAGCTCCCAGGAGTCATAAATCCAAGGACCCTGTTTATCTTGCTCTGTTTCTCTTTGAAGTCTGCACATTAAATAAGTCCTAATGCGAGCCCATCTCAGAAATGTCCATTTTTATAGGAGGAGATTTGGAGACTCCTCTCAGAATATGGTAAGGTTGTGAAATATGCTCACACATTTGGCACGTTGTTTGTGTGTGTTCTTACTGATCTAACACTCCCCTCCTCCCCAACCCCCTCCCAGGCTGTAAGTTCCTTGAGGAACGTGACCACGTATTACATAGTATCATGTATTTTTATCATTAGCGTCTAACACATCAAACCCATTGCCATCGAGTCAATTCCAACTCACAGTGACTCTATAGGACAGAGTAGAACTGCCCCATAGGGTTTCCAAGGAGTGGCTGGTGGATTCGAACTACTGACCTTTTGGTTAGCAGCTGAGCTCTTAACCACTGCACCACCAGGGTTCCAAGGGACTCCAAAGGCTTGTCTAGTTCAACGAGTTTTTTGAAAAAGAGCACTTAAAGTTAGAAGACAAAATGTGAACACTTACATTATTTGTACTTCCTGATCATGATACAATTTCTAGAGAGGTCTTAATTGGTATGTAATAAATTCATAAGGATTATCAAATTTTGAGCTCCTCCCTTGTGTTACAGAGGATGACATCAAGGCCTCGAGAGGTTAAAGTCCTGCTGAAGGTCCCTCAGGCAGATGGGGATGGGCCATGTGCTGAGACTTTTCCCAAGGATCTTTCCCTCCATTACTCAGGCTCCACTAGAGTTGACGGAATTCCAGGACCCTATGTAAGTACAGGAGTCCCCAGATGGTGAAAATCGTGTGTCAGAGTATGCCTGTACTCCATAGGGTTTTCAACAGCTGATTTTTTTGGAAGTAGATTACCAGGCCTTTCTTCCAAGGTGCCTCTAGGTGGACTTGAACCTTCCGGTTAGCAGCCAGCTTGTTAACCATGTGCACCACCCAGAGGCTCCCTTGTTATATAAGTACCTTGTATAAGATTATGAAGGAGCTCTGGTGGCACAATGGTTAAAGTGCTCGGCTGCTAACCGAAAGGTCAGTGGTTCAAACCCACCAGCGGCTCCTTGGGAGAAAAGACCTGGTGATCTGCTCCCGTAAAGATTACAGCCTAGGAAACCCTATGAGGCAGTTCTGCTCTGTCCTTTTTGGTCACTATGAGTCATAATTAACTTGACAGTGGCACACAACAACAACAAATAAGTTAATGTTGCCTCTTGGCCTGCAAAACCTAAAATATTTACTATCCAGTTCCTTACAGAAAAGTTTGGTGCACCCTGTTACAGAGAAAGATTTTAATATCGTAGTTAAAAGCTCAGGTCTTAGAATCAAGCAGATTTGGATGGAAATCCCAGCTCTGGCACTTTTTACAAGTTACGAACCCTTGTGGAGCTGTTCTACTGCAACATGAGGTTGCCATGGGTCAGAATTGACTTGATAGCAAACAACAACAATCTTTATGGAAGGAGATCTCCAGGCCTTTCTTTTGCAGCACTGCTAGGTGGGTTCAAACTGCCAATCTTTAGGTTAGTAGTCAAGTACAAACCATTCGTACAACCCAGGGAAACTTTAACCTCACTGTTTCCAATTCACATACTCTCACTACTCCCATTTGGGATAATTCAGTAACTCTGCCACTGTCTTCTCCTGCCAGATACACATTCACAGTACCTACACACAAACTTTGTCTCTGAGAAAGTGAAATATATAAAAAATAGCATTGCATTATTTTGTTTTTAAATATTATTTTCATTATAAATGCAATATAGCCATATTACTGAAAATTTAGGGAACAAAGAAATAAAGGGGAAAACAGCCAATATCTCACCTCAGATCTTATTTCTTCTAAGCAATGCTTTTTTACAGAGCTGTGATTATTATATAGTTATATTCATATTGTTCAAACAATTTTGCACACTGCAATTTTCACTTAACTTGGTAAAAGAGTTTTTCTATGTTATTATATGGTCTTCATAAACATTACTTAGATGTATGCAAGACACAGCTAACCCAAATTGCAAACTTAAGTGAACTGGAGAAAGACTCTCCTTTTTCTATGCCAGTACAGTCCACACCAGGGTATACAGTTGGGCAAGTAGAGCACAAACTGGATTTCAGTCTTCACTAGTCTTCTTTTGCCCTTGGTTCGGTGACTTTCTGCAGCGTGCAACCTAGAACATAATGCATGGTGGCTCCACCATATGCATATCTGTTCCCCAAATGCCGCCTTGGCCTATGACCCACAAGATGCCAGCTGTACGTCACTGGAGTAGTCACTCCACCTGTCTACCTACACTATGTTTTGGATCTTCTTTAAAGATATGATAGTTCAGCCCGAGACCAGAACTAGATGGTGCCTGGCTACCACCAATGACCGCCCTGACAGGGAACACAACAGAGGGTCCCTGACGGAGCAGAAGAAAAGTGGGGTGCAGAACTCAAATTCTAGGAAAAGACCAGACTTAATGGTCTGATTGAGACTTGAGGTACCCCAGAATACATGGACCCCGGACTCTCTGTTAGCCCAAAACTAAAACCATTCCCGAGGCCAACTCTTCAGACAAAGATTAGACTGGACTATGGGACATAAAGTGATACTCGTGAAGGGTGTGCTTCTCAGCTCAAGTAGATACATGAGAGTAAATGAGCAGCTCCTGTCCGGCGGCCAGATGAGAAAGCAGAGAGGGTCAGAAGCTGGCTGAATGGACACGGGGAAATCCGGGGTGGAAAGGAGGAGTGTGCTGTCACAGTATAGGGAGAGCAACTAGGGTCACATAACAATGTATGTATAAATTTTTGTATGAGAGACTAACTTGAATTGTAACTTTCACTTAAAGCGCAACAATTAAAAAAAAAAAACTTTTTAAGTGAAAAAAAAAAAAAAAAGATGTGATAGTTGTGTGAAAGCCAAGGAACCAGTGGACAGAGAAAAGAACATGGAGTCACAAGCAGGACGCAAGCGTCAGACATCTGGGTTAAAATC